CTTTTGAAGACAGTTTGGCAGTTTCTTACAAAATTAAACATATTCTTACCATACAATCCAGCAATCACACTCATTGGTATTTACCCAAAGGAGTTGAAAATGTATGTCCACAAAACAAACAAACAAACAAAAACAGCACAGGAATGTTTATAGCAGCTTTATTCGTAATTGCTAAATTTGGAAGCAATCAAGATGTCCCTCAGTAGGGGAATGGATAAATAAATTGGTACATCTAGAAATGGAATATTATTTAGCGCTTAAAAAATGACTTATCCAACCATGAAAAGACATGGAAGAGTCTTAAATGCATATTACTAAGTGAAAGAAGCCAATTTTAAAAGGCTATATACTACATGATTCCAACTCTAAGACATTCTGGAAAATGAAAAACTATGGATACAATAAAAAAATCAGTGGTTACCAAAAGTTGGGGGTTGGGGGAGATGAATATGCAAAGCACAGAGGATCTTTATGGCAGTGAAAAGGCTCTGCATTGTGTTATAATGATGGATACATGTCATTTATATACTTGGCCAAACTCATAGAACTATGGAGATTATGATGTGTCAAAGTAGGTTCATCCTTCATAAAAAATGTACCATTCTGGTGAGGGATACTGATAATGGGGGGCTATGCATGTGTAGAACAAGGAATCTATGGGAAATCTCTGTGCCTTCCTCTCAATTTTGTGGTAAACTTAAAACCGCTCTAAAAAATGTCTTTATAAAAACTCACATGAATCACTAAGATATTCAATTTCTGTGACCCAAGGTCATATTAGTTTCTTCAACTTGCAGGGGTGAATTTTCCCCCCAAAAAATCTTCATTTTGTGTTCTATTATTAATATTTCAAATTTCTTCTTTGCAGGACCCACCACATGGATGGTAACCTCTAAAATCAATATCAATAGTTGTGAACAGTGGTTATCTGAGAAGGATGGGGCTGTGAACAATTTTAACTTTCTGTGTCTTTTATTTCTGTGATATTTACATTTTTATAAGCAGGTATTGCTTTCGTACTCAAAACTCGACAAGCTCAAATATATATATATATATATTTTTTTACTTTGAAAAGATCTATATAAATTAGAGGAAGTATACCCATTATTTTTACATAGAATGGTAAACATTTTTTTGTTTGCTGTTTAAAGTCAATTAAAGGGAAGGGAAAAAAGCAAATTCTGGACCAGATGTCCTGTTTACACCATTAAGGTGCTGTGGCAGGAAGTGTACCTGTCTTACTGTTATTTATGTCTCTGTTGATTTTACCTTCTTTCAAGATTGTAAATGTGTGTGTGTGTGTGTGT